GGATATATGGTGCCTCCTGCGTATTCAGAACCCTTAGGCTACAACAATGCTGCTAGGAACTACTGCTGCTTTGTTTTATGAATGTGTTTGGATTAGAAAACAATAATATTTAATCATCAGCTACTCAGAGAATGGAAGCAGAGGAAACAGAGATGGGATGCGCTCTGTGTTTGCTTACTCCCAGAGAAGTATTTTCATGCAGGAAGCATGGTCTGCAGGATTTGGATCATCACATGCAGGAGCTCAGACACTGAGGATGCCACGCAGCTGAGTGTGTGCATCTCCATTCCCAAACACATTTGAAAGCTGCAGCATGGAAAATGTTTTTAGAGAGTTATTGCAGGTGAAGTGTTACAAGATGGCATTGATGATGGCTAGGAGCCGTTTTCCTAGCTTAGATCAAGTGACCATAATTCCATCTCTCCTTTTGCTGATGACCATGTTCTCTGTAGATGCAGATCGTCGGGTTTATTGCATTTCTGTTACCGTGCCCTCCCTGTTTGTCTAGTGAACAGTGCAATGGGGTGTCCAGCATTGCTTAAAGAATATAGCACCTACCCCTCCTTTGGGAAACTGCTGCACTGCAACATATCAGAAACACGCGTCTAATTCACAAATACTGCAGTTTAAAAAGAAAAAAAAAGGGGGAGGGGGAAGCTGTTTCACGTAAAAAAACCCACCCAGTTTTTAGAACTCAGAAGTTTCTCCTTTCCCCAAAGCCTTTTCTATGACTTTGGTGAATACTTACACTTCAGTGTAATTTCTAGGTATATGGAAAACCATAAATGCACAGTGAAAAGAAGCACTTTTTCAAAAATTTGCAGTAATGGAATTAAAGATCTCTTTCTCTAGGATTGCAAATAGGGAAATATTGATAAATACTGCAGTAAAGAAATTAAACTTGGTCTTTTCAAAACTGGACAAAAGTAAAAATCTTAATGTGCTAAATGTCAGTAAAGGCTCAAATTGGTTTTTATTGCAGTCTGTCTCCTTCTCCATCCAAACTGTCAGACCAGTCTCTGAGAAACGGGGAGTTTATACAACATCTGTACTTCAGGCATTACAGCAACTGAGAGGATTCCATTTTCTTAGTAGTGATCCGAGTTCTGAAACAATTGACCCAGCACTGACCTCTCTAACTACTTTCATTTAATTAGTATCTATTCTCTTTAAATCTGGAATTTTTAAAAATCCTGCACTTTGGGTTCTGTATACATGGTATAAACTTTCTCATCCTTTATAAAAAAAGGCCATGAAAACTGGGATTCTTTTTTTCATGAGTCCAAAAACTGTATGTATACAGCTGCTCTAAGAGTTTATGTAGTACCTGTGCTGTGAGCTCTTACCACACCTCACTTCTTCAGCCTAACTAAAGCTATTAATAAAAGGGTACAGCAAAGGTTTCTCGATGACAGAGAAAACAGAGAATTGAAAGAATTTTAATTAGCTCTTTTCCTGTTGTTTATTCTATCAATTTCTTGCATTTTCCTTTGGCAATACTGTAGTAGTTTCTTAATTTAAGATCTGACAATATTGTAGTAGTTTGGTTTAGATTCTTCAGTTGAGAATACTCTGACATGAATTTCAGGTATTTTGGCACTATAAACTCAGTCATTTGAATGCAACCCCACTAATGAACCCTTACAAGTGCTCTATTGTCATTCTTAACTACTCATTTGTTGTGATAAAAGTGGAATTAGTCCATAATACCATTCCAAATTCTGAAAAAGTTAGATGAGTTGACAGGCTAAGGCTTTAAAAATCTGCTTCTGCAACAAAGGAGGTTGAGGAACAAATGAAGTTCAGACACAATGGTATTGTGAAATTAGAGAATCCTTTCTTTTGAGTGAAGTCCTTACTTAAAAGCAAGGCATATTGTTTGCTGATGCAGAAGCGATCTATACCAAATGAAGGTTGAATGTTACGCTGTAAGAAAATAAGATCCATTTTGCTAATGTGCATGTAAGGATCCTGGGGGTAAAAATCAGAATTTGACTACCACTGTAAAACACCAAATAAAACAAGTTGACTAGTAAGAAATTTTAGACTGGATTTTTTGTGGTTTTTTTAATTCATGTTGAGAGTAAACTGCAAATGGTGGGGCATATCCTTATTGTATGTCACCTCTTCTACAACTGCACTAAAGACTGTTTAAAAAAAGAAAACAAACTGGACGTGGTGAGAAAACCCTTATCATAATGAAAACTTTAATTCAATGGTAAAAATGAAGTATTTGTACACACACACTCTCCTCAGGTCACCCAGCAACTAAACTCTAGGTAGTGCCCTGTGTCCCTGCACGCAGCACGGCTGGTTTTGGGTCCTTTTCGCTGCCCTAGGTTTCCTGCAGTTTTCTTTGGAATTTGCATGCAGTAGATGAATCGCCCATGCGGTGCAAACTAAGCTTTTGACATTTCTATAATGAGGCAGTGCTTAGTCTCACAGTCAAAAAAGGTGGTTTATATTTCAAACTAGCTACTTCTGACTCATACTTCTTGTAGAAATAAAATTCTTTCTCCCCAGCTGCACAGGATCTGGCAGTCGAAGGATCTCTAATACGACACCCGCTTAGTTCAGCAGATGTGATCTCTCAGCAAATGGACATTCCTTTTTGCTTTTTAACATAAATTCTTCACGTGGGGAATGCTCTAAATTGTCCATTTTACTTTGTCCTCTGCTGTGGGGCTCAGTGAATGGGAGCTGTTGGCCCCTTATTTCCAGCTTTTAGAGAACCAGCCATTCTTGGTGTTACCACATACAGCATATGCATTAGGCCAGCTTTTTGCAGAAAATAAGAGAAGAACCAAACACTTCTTGTTTAAAGCCTTAACTCCCTGAGAGGAAGGCTGCCTATGCAGGGAGCAAAACCAGGCAGACAGGAGTATTTACCAGCTTTAAAAGCTTTCCTCCATTTTAATGAAACAACAAAACCCCCCACTTTTATCTACAAAGGAGGAAAAAGTGCAATTCAGCTCTGAAACTGGACTAAAATGTCAGTGTGGCTGATGCTGATGATCCACTTAGCTTCCTTTACAATCAAGAAATGTTTCAGTTGGTTACTAAGGCATCAGCCCATATTGGGACACTGGATTCAGGTTGTTCCCCCTCTCACATGTCATTGACAATAGAAAAATTCTACAGGTCAAATTTAACTGCTTGCTGCCTTTGCACATTCTCTTTATACTCAACAGAGTCAAAACAAAAAACCAAAGCAAAATAAGATCCAGCTTTTGAATCAGAGGTTACTAGTGCTGTCCAAGGTGTACCAAACAGGAAACAGGGTTCTGCTCTTTCCTCAACCAATTCAATGCTGCCTTATTAAAAAATAAAAAAATAATGACAGAATTAGTTATTAAAATCAATAAGAAAAAGTCTGATTATCAGGAATCAGACTGAGTACAAAGACAGTTACCTCTTCAATATAAAACTATGCTTTAACTAGCATATACAAGCTATATAATACCTTTGAAAATGTCCATGCTAAATACCTACAAGAACATCCATTGTGTTTACACACAGCAGGACCCCTCCTCCAGCGCTCTCACTTCAGATCAGAGAAGACTCACTGAGCTATGTTGAAACTTGTGGATAAACAGCCAGTCAGTTGAAATAATTAGTATTCTTCTATGCAAAACCAAATTCTCAGATTTTAGCTCTAGGAATCTAAGCTTTAAAAAGCTCAGAATGCCCAAGCTAATCCAGTCATCATTTTTACAATAATTATAGAGTAAATGTTGTGATTATTAGAAGCAATAAAGAGGAAAACTTCAAAAGATTTTCTTTAGCACTGCATTTTAGAGATAATGTGCTTTACTTTAATATACAGTTAAAATGTCAAGGAAATCCAAAGTATGGAATAGTTTAATTCAATACCAGCTCAACATATTTTGGCAACGTAAAATTCACTGCTGGCATACTGTTCAGCAGAACCATTTTTACAGTCAGACATCTTTAATCTATTTATAAAAAGCCTGAAGTTGAGGAGATGCAACATTGCAAGCCTACCTAAACTTTGTTCTTGTAGGTGAGTACCTGTTATAAAAAGCATTCACCATAGCAAAAGGGACATGTAGAAATACCTGGCGCTGCACAGTAAACTTGTAAGACTGGGTACAGCACATCTGCCTTTTCGGTTGCAGCTGCAGAAGTGCTCAGTGGCTCACCTTGCTCATTAACTACATGCCACATGTAAATGCAGAGAAACAGAAAAGCACCATTGCATATGAAGAACAACTGCGCGGTAAGAAATGAATATTCACCGTCAGTAAAAACCACAGTCGGCATATAGAATCAATGGGCTCTGAAGAATGGAGCTTAATTTGCACCAGCAGAACTTGGAGCAATACAAGTGTGAGTCAAAAAGCAGAGTTGCAGTATTTAAGTGCCCTAAGAAGAACCAGAGTCTCATGAAACACAGTGAAGAAAACAATCAAGGGAAATTTTTCAGCATGCACCATTTCTGGGCCTTCCAAGAAGGCCACTGAATAATTTTTTAAAAGGTTGGGTGTAATAGTAATCAAATCTCTCTGATATGAATATTTTGGGGGGGCGGGGTTTGAAAGAAAGTTGGGAATGTATCTTTTTATATGAAAACACAGCTAAATTATTCACTTTACAGAAAAAAATGCTAGCAGCAATTTAAAAAACAAAAAGCCAAGAGGCTTTATTTCAAGAAAACCAATTAAGATAATATTATTTAAAAACTTTGTCAAACAAAGTCATTACAAGTTAAGGTCTCCAAAAAAGTTTGGACAGGCAGGATCCATTTTCTAAACTTACAGCTTAAAACCACGGGAGTATGCATATGTTTAACATCACATACACATGTGTATAAATGGACACAGCTTTGCATTTTGTGTGTACACTTAAACCAAAACACACTTAACAAAATGTGGAGCTATACAGACTATACAGTTTACACAGCTGGGTGTCATTCCAACCCCAAATGTTACCATTTGCTAGAAAACAAACCTTTACTTTGGACTAGACCTCAACATGAATAAGTTTACTCCTCACTCAGGAGGCTGAATCTGAACAATAAGCTAAACAGTCAAAAGACTTTATTTCAACTTGTACAAAAGGCATTAAAAAACCTAAAATACATGCTTTACCAAATATATTACATCATACAAGTCAGTGTGGTGTACTTGATAAATCCAGCTTAACTTCATCCACTTGTAATGGCATATTTAGTCGAAATGTAAAACTGACTACACTGGAAACATTTATTTTAAAATCAATTTCCAAGTGCATTAATTACCTAAAAAAAAATAAATTGCTCTAGCCAAAAAAAATAATATATTATTGAGTGAAATAAGGAGCTCCCATTCAGAAAAACATTCTGTGTAAGCATCATGTGGCATTTAATCTGATTCTCTCAACAGGCATGGTACCCTAGGCAGTGTGAGAGGCATTTTTCTGTCTGCTTGGCAGATGGATTCCTTTTTAGGATGGTTAAATTGTTAGCTGCTCAAAACAAAGTTTAATTTCACAATTGGTGATTTAGCTAGAGATGTCAAAACACGTGTCGGAACTGCCAACAAGAAAATACATCACATCTATTGAAGCTTTTTTTGGCCTCATCGTGGTAATATCAGACAGAGTAAGGCATGTAGATCATAGCAATTACAAGTCACTCACAATCCTTTTGTGATGGGAAAAGCATTTCCCCCTCCTCTCTGTATTACCTGACACTATTTTTGTTCACGTGGCTTTTGTAACACATCACACAGAGGTGTGCACTGGCGTGGCTGAATGGGAAGGAGATGAACCTCTATCAGAAGAGGAAGAAATGGATCGTGTAGCAGCTTCCCGCTGCAAATCTTCAACCTTCTTCTGAAGCTCTGTCCGGATGGCAAGGAGCTCTTTGAGATTTTGATGGATTGGAACCTGCGGGGTGAAGAAAGAAAAGGCTTATTTTGACT